TCTCAGTGTGAGGACACTGTGTCTCAGTGTGATGACACTGTGTCTCAGTGTGAGGACACTGTGTCTCAGTGTGAGGACACTGTCTCTCAGTGTGAGGACACTGTCTCTCAGTGTGAGGACACTGTGTCTCAGTGTGAGGACACTGTGTGTGTGAGGACACTGTCTCTCAGTGTGAGGACACTGTCTCTCAGTGTGAGGACACTGGACACTGTGTCTCAGTGTGAGGACACTGTGTCTCAGTGTGAGGACACTGTGTCTCTCAGTGTGAGGACACTGTGTCTCAGTGTGAGGACACTGTGTCTCAGTGTGAGGACACTGTGTCTCAGTGTGAGGACACTGTGTCTCAGTGTGAGGACACTGTGTCTCAGTGTGAGGACACTGTGTCTCAGTGTGAGGACACTGTGTCTCAGTGTGAGGACACTGTGTCTCAGTGTGAGGACACTGTGTCTCAGTGTGAGGACACTGTGTCTCAGTGTGAGGACACTGTGTCTCAGTGTGAGGACACTGTGTCTCAGTGTGAGGACACTGTGTCTCAGTGTGAGGACACTGTGTCTCAGTGTGAGGACACTGTGTCTCAGTGTGAGGACACTGTGTCTCAGTGTGAGGACACTGTGTCTCAGTGTGAGGACACTGTGTCTCAGTGTGAGGACACTGTGTCTCAGTGTGAGGACACTGTGTCTCAGTGTGAGGACACTGTGTCTCAGTGTGAGGACACTGTGTCTCAGTGTGAGGACACTGTGTCTCAGTGTGAGGACACTGTGTCTCACTGTGTCTCAGAGGACACTGTGTCTCAGTGTGAGGACACTGTGTCTCAGTGTGAGGACACTGTGTCTCAGTGTGAGGACACTGTGTCTCAGTGTGAGGACACTGTGTCTCAGTGTGAGGACACTGTGTCTCAGTGTGAGGACACTGTGTCTCAGTGTGAGGACACTGTCTCTCAGTGTGAGGACACTGTGTCTCAGTGTGAGGACACTGTGTCTCAGTGTGAGGACACTGTGTCTCAGTGTGAGGACACTGTCTCTCAGTGTGAGGACACTGTGTCTCAGTGTGAGGACACTGTGTCTCAGTGTGAGGACACTGTGTCTCAGTGTGAGGACACTGTGTCTCAGTGTGAGGACACTGTGTCTCAGTGTGAGGACACTGTGTCTCAGTGTGAGGACACTGTGTCTCAGTGTGAGGACACTGTGTCTCAGTGTGAGGACACTGTGTCTCAGTGTGAGGACACTGTGTCTCAGTGTGAGGACACTGTGTCTCTCAGTGTGAGGACACTGTGTCTCAGTGTGAGGACACTGTGTCTCAGTGTGAGGACACTGTGTCTCAGTGTGAGGACACTGTGTCTCAGTGTGAGGACACTGTGTCTCAGTGTGAGGACACTGTGTCTCAGTGTGAGGACACTGTGTCTCAGTGTGAGGACACTGTGTCTCAGTGTGAGGACACTGTGTCTCAGTGTGAGGACACTGTGTCTCAGTGTGAGGACACTGTGTCTCAGTGTGAGGACACTGTGTCTCAGTGTGAGGACACTGTGTCTCAGTGTGAGGACACTGTGTCTCAGTGTGAGGACACTGTGTCTCAGTGTGAGGACACTGTGTCTCAGTGTGAGGACACTGTGTCTCAGTGTGAGGACACTGTGTCTCAGTGTGAGGACACTGTGTCTCAGTGTGAGGACACTGTGTCTCAGTGTGAGGACACTGTGTCTCAGTGTGAGGACACTGTGTCTCAGTGTGAGGACACTGTGTCTCAGTGTGAGGACACTGTGTCTCAGTGTGAGGACACTGTGTCTCAGTGTGAGGACACTGTGTCTCAGTGTGAGGACACTGTGTCTCAGTGTGAGGACACTGTGTCTCAGTGTGAGGACACTGTGTCTCAGTGTGAGGACACTGTGTCTCAGTGTGAGGACACTGTGTCTCAGTGTGAGGACACTGTGTCTCAGTGTGAGGACACTGTGTCTCAGTGTGAGGACACTGTGTCTCAGTGTGAGGACACTGTGTCTCAGTGTGAGGACACTGTGTCTCAGTGTGAGGACACTGTGTCTCAGTGTGAGGACACTGTGTCTCAGTGTGAGGACACTGTGTCTCAGTGTGAGGACACTGTGTCTCAGTGTGAGGACACTGTGTCTCAGTGTGAGGACACTGTGTCTCAGTGTGAGGACACTGTGTCTCAGTGTGAGGACACTGTGTCTCAGTGTGAGGACACTGTGTCTCAGTGTGAGGACACTGTGTCTCAGTGTGAGGACACTGTGTCTCAGTGTGAGGACACTGTGTCTCAGTGTGAGGACACTGTGTCTCAGTGTGAGGACACTGTGTCTCAGTGTGAGGACACTGTGTCTCAGTGTGAGGACACTGTGTCTCAGTGTGAGGACACTGTGTGTGAGGACACTCAGTGTGAGGACACTGTGTCTCAGTGTGAGGACACTGTGTCTCAGTGTGAGGACACTGTGTCTCAGTGTGAGGACACTGTGTCTCAGTGTGAGGACACTGTGTCTCAGTGTGAGGACACTGTGTCTCAGTGTGAGGACACTGTGTCTCAGTGTGAGGACACTGTGTCTCAGTGTGAGGACACTGTGTCTCAGTGTGAGGACACTGTGTCTCAGTGTGAGGACACTGTGTCTCAGTGTGAGGACACTGTGTCTCAGTGTGAGGACACTGTGTCTCAGTGTGAGGACACTGTGTCTCAGTGTGAGGACACTGTGTCTCAGTGTGAGGACACTGTGTCTCAGTGTGAGGACACTGTGTCTCAGTGTGAGGACACTGTGTCTCAGTGTGAGGACACTGTGTCTCAGTGTGAGGACACTGTGTCTCAGTGTGAGGACACTGGTCTCAGTGTGAGGACACTCAGTGTGAGGACACTGTGTCTCAGTGTGAGGACACTGTGTGTGAGGACACTCAGTGTGAGGACACTGTGTCTCAGTGTGAGGACACTGTGTCTCAGTGTGAGGACACTGTGTCTCAGTGTGAGGACACTGTGTCTCAGTGTGAGGACACTGTGTCTCAGTGTGAGGACACTGTGTCTCAGTGTGAGGACACTGTGTCTCAGTGTGAGGACACTGTGTCTCAGTGTGAGGACACTGTGTCTCAGTGTGAGGACACTGTGTCTCAGTGTGAGGACACTGTGTCTCAGTGTGAGGACACTGTGTCTCAGTGTGAGGACACTGTGTCTCAGTGTGAGGACACTGTGTCTCAGTGTGAGGACACTGTGTCACTGTGTCTCAGTGTGAGGACACTGTGTCTCAGTGTGAGGACACTGTGTCTCAGTGTGAGGACACTGTGTCTCAGTGTGAGGACACTGTGTCTCAGTGTGAGGACACTGTGTCTCAGTGTGAGGACACTGTGTCTCAGTGTGAGGACACTGTGTCTCAGTGTGAGGACACTGTGTCTCAGTGTGAGGACACTGTGTCTCAGTGTGAGGACACTGTGTCTCAGTGTGAGGACACTGTGTCTCAGTGTGAGGACACTGTGTCTCAGTGTGAGGACACTGTGTCTCAGTGTGAGGACACTGTGTCTCAGTGTGAGGACACTGTGTCTCAGTGTGAGGACACTGTGTCTCAGTGTGAGGACACTGTGTCTCAGTGTGAGGACACTGTGTCTCAGTGTGAGGACACTGTGTCTCAGTGTGAGGACACTGTGTCTCAGTGTGAGGACACTGTGTCTCAGTGTGAGGACACTGTGTCTCAGTGTGAGGACACTGTCTCTCAGTGTGAGGACACTGTGTCTCAGTGTGAGGACACTGTGTCTCAGTGTGAGGACACTGTGTCTCAGTGTGAGGACACTGTGTCTCAGTGTGAGTGTGAGGACTGTGTCTCAGTGTGAGGACACTGTGTCTCAGTGTGAGGACACTGTGTCTCAGTGTGAGGACACTGTGTCTCAGTGTGAGGACACTGTGTCTCAGTGTGAGGACACTGTGTCTCAGTGTGAGGACACTGTGTCTCAGTGTGAGGACACTGTGTCTCAGTGTGAGGACACTGTGTCTCAGTGTGAGGACACTGTGTCTCAGTGTGAGGACACTGTGTCTCAGTGTGAGGACACTGTGTCTCAGTGTGAGGACACTGTGTCTCAGTGTGAGGACACTGTGTCTCAGTGTGAGGACACTGTGTCTCAGTGTGAGGACACTGTGTCTCTCAGTGTGAGGACACTGTGTCTCAGTGTGAGTGTGACACTGTGTCTCAGTGTGAGGACACTGTGTCTCAGTGTGAGGACACTGTGTCTCAGTGTGAGGACACTGTGTCTCAGTGTAGAGGACACTGTGTCTCAGTGTGAGTGACACTGTGTCTCAGTGTGAGGACACTGTGTCTCAGTGTGTGTGAGGACACTGTGTCTCAGTGTGAGGACACTGTGTCTCAGTGTGAGGACACTGTTCTCAGTGTGAGGACACTGTGTCTCAGTGTGAGGACACCTGTGTCTCAGTGTGAGGACACTGTGTTCAGTGGGAGGACACTGTGTCTCAGTGTGAGGACACTGTGTCTCAGTGTGAGGACACTGTGTCTCAGTGTGAGGACACTGTGTCTCAGTGTGAGGACACTGTGTCTCAGTGTGAGGACACTGTGTCTCAGTGTGAGGACACTGTGTCTCAGTGTGAGGACACTGTGTCTCAGTGTGAGGACACTGTGTCTCAGTGTGAGGACACTGTGTCTCAGTGTGAGAACACTGTGTCTCAGTGTGAGGACACTGTGTCTCAGTGTGAGGACACTGTGTCTCAGTGTGAGGACACTGTGTCTCAGTGTGAGGACAGGTATTTCAAATTATTTCCAATTGTTAACACCAACAAATCTTATGCTGTCTTTCTTCATAGTATAGAGTTGAATATTAATTATGTAAGTCATTAACGTTTTTTGTTATCTCATATACTCCTAGATGCGCGTAATTATATAAGGAGCTCTAGGCACAGCTGAAAATAATTTAAATCTGGTTTTAGTAAATACAACATGAAAGGTTATACATTTAGGTGTTGTATAATGCATGCCCTATTCATGTGGTGATTGTTGTTCCCGGTGATTGTTTCCACAGGCTGGCAGGCATGAGTGACCTTCAGCCAACCTACCAGGCTGTGTGGGTGGGCCTTAGGCTGGGCTCCGAGTCAGGTGAGTCACAATGACCAGAGGCACTTGTAGGTGAGTCAGAATGACCATGCCAGCTGGAGGTGGGGGGGAGGGGAGTCACAATGCAGTTCCACCCTTGTCCTAATATTCCTGACTATATACAAACTATGTAAGCACTCACAATTTTCCTCATTGTATGTGCTCACAATTCAATAATTTTGGTCAATAAGTAATATATAATCACATATATGAGAAATCAACTACGAAACAACACGGTGTTCACATTTTATCAAAATTGTTTAATGTTAATTGTTGCAGGTTACGAATGGTCGGACGGAACTGCCCTGGACTATGTCAACAGGGCGGAGGGTCAACCGGACAGTTATTATGGCAGAGAGAACTGCGGCTCTGCTGATACCACCTCCATGAAGCTCTCTGACAGTGTCTGTGATGCTTTCCTCCCGTTTGTCTGTGAGGCAGCTCAAGGTGAGGACAACTGTGTAACGCTGACACTGTGTGTGAGGCAGCTCAAGGTGAGGACAACTGTGTCACGCTGACACTGTGTGTGAGGCAGCTTAGGGTGAGGGCAACTGTGTCACGCTGACACTGTGTGTGAGGCAGCTCAGGGTGAGGGCAACTGTGTCACGCTGACACTGTGTGTGAGGCAGCTCAGGGTGAGGGCAACTGTGTCACGCTGACACTGTGTGTGAGGCAGCTCAAGGTGAGGACAACTGTGTCACGCTGACACTGTGTGTGAGGCAGCTTAGGGTGAGGACAACTGTGTCACGCTGACACTGTGTGTGAGGCAGCTTAGGGTGAGGACAACTGTGTCACGCTGACACTGTGTGTGAGGCAGCTTAGGGTGAGGACAACTGTGTCACGCTGACAGCGTGTGTGGAAGCAGTCAATATAAAATCTTCCGTATGGCCTCTTGATTGTTTCTAACAATTTCTTAATAGTTTTGCGGCTAGGGAAAGTATTTCCTTTGGAAGTCAAGTTTCTTGGCACGATAATTAATGTTGTAGTGATTACCACTTTCACGGTAATCACTACAACATGCACATCACAACACTAATAACTACATGTTATAATCACTACAACATGCACATCACAACACTAATAACTACATGTTATAATCACTACAACATGCCAACCTGTTCTCCTGTTTAGATAGTGCCTACTGTGACGGTCGTCAATAGTCATTAATTCGTACGTTCTTAGCTGTTAAGTAGTAGTATAGTGACTAGTAAGGAATTATTTTACAATACATGAAGCTAAAAAACACAAATATTCCTAGGCCTAGTATAGCACACATATGTACTACACTAGGCCTTAGATATTATATTGTGTATTAGGCCTAGGAAGGTTGGGTTATGTTAGTTTAGTTTGTCAAAGCAACACGGGTAAAAAAATATTTTCCGGTTTGTCTAACTCAATAGTTCAGATTTATACTTTCTACTTTCGTTGTACTTCGGTATATATATATATACTATGGTCGTCATCGTTACTACAAGTACTACCAAAACAGGAGGATGGGCTAAACATGCTCACTACAACACTAATCAATACATGTTATATCACTACAACATAATCAATTCTTTTTTGTATTTCTTATCCTTGGTTATTTTAACGTTACATTGCGTCACGTTAAAACACTATATTCATCTTCAAACATGTGAAGTGTAAAATTATAATGCTTGACTATCTCCTGAAATTTGATATCAATGAAAACCTTGGTCTTATGAAAGAAAAACGTGAATATCACAGACTTAGTGTATGTTATACCTTCAAAATATACTATTAAACATTTATACGAGAATAATATAAAAATATCTGTTGATTACAAAAGTTCATATGCCAGTTCGCCAGTGGACTATTACTGAAACCTTAATAACCCTTCAAAGCACCACAAAGATCTAAACAAGTGTCCAGGTGGTTTAAAAAGGAAGGAGGATTGCTCGGTATAATCACCTTGACCGGACCATTACACAGACTGCCTCTCTCTTTCTGTAGGAACTATGGTGACAACTTTGGCCCCTCCAACAAGAGGTCCTGACATACTGTGTGATGATGACGCCTCCTGGCTTATGTACGAGGACCACTGCTACAAGTTTATCTCTGAAGCTGACGAGGACCCTCAGGACTGGTGGGGTTCTCATAAGCTCTGTAGGAAGGAAGGAGCAGAGCTGGTCTCCATCCATACCTACGACGAGAATTACTGGATTGAGTCAAAGGTTTGTATGGAATCAATTTGGCTCTATATCTGCAAGGAACAATATTTTTTTGGAGGTTGAAAACTTAAATCGTCACAATTTTACATTATTTTCTGATTTTCTTGTCCAGCCTAGAGGTAAAAATATAAATATAATTTTTATAATTAATGTGGCCTGGGTACAGGAAGCAACTGGTTAATTATTTAACAAATCAGCTCGCAGAAGTGTGACGATTAAGTCTTCAGACAACACACACACCCGAACATATGTTCACTCCACGCGATCTCTTGTGCTATTTACACTTGCAAAGACTTATTTATCCTCACTACCAACCTTGATCTGAAACTCTTCCTTTGATTGATGTAATAAGATCCAAGAAGATCACAGAGGAAGTAATTCTTTGACGCTCCCAGACTAAATAAATGCAAATGGCGGTATCCAACAGATGGAACTTTCTTCTTTTTCAGTAAAAACGTTCTTAGCCTATACCTTATTCAAAAAAGTAAAATCAAGAAGTTGTTAATGTTTTTCACCACAGTGAGAAGGTACATTGGGTGATAGGAAACGCGCCCAACCATTTCTGTCTTCCCCGGGATTCGAACCCAGAATTCTCGACTATGAGTCGACAACGAACCCGACTGTACTACCGGGACCCTTATAACTGTAAAGGGAACATTATTTGAAGATAAACGATATTCCGCGTGACTATTTCTATTTTAATGATGAAACTAATTTTTTAATTTTATTTTACGACTCAGCAGCTAAACTTGATGTTCTAAACTAAAATCATAATTAAAAGTGCTAATCAATATAATATATTTATCGAGAAAAGTCAGAAAAATAATACTGCTCATTTATCTTTATTTTCTCTTTCTCTTGTGTTTTTAGATTGATGAATGTTGAGAAATATTAAGATGATAGACTTTATTCTCTTTATCCATTCGTTATATTACTTCTTATATACTCAAAAAATAAGTATATCACAACAGTTGTAAACTCTACTCACCCATTATGTTAGGACATGCCCAAACGCTGCAACCTGATCCTCCTGGATTTGTTATCAATAAAATATTAAATATCGTTTTGTTTCTTAACATGATATAAAATTACTTTCAAGTTAGTGGGTGATCATCGTGGGTGCAGTAGTACCCCAGGTTGCAATTCGT